TATGTATGTATATATAATGGAATATTACTCAGCAATCAAAAAAGATAAAATTCATGCCTTTGCAGCAACATGGATGAAGCTGGAAGGGATCATGCTTAGTGAAATAAGCCAGAAAGAAAAAGAAAAATACTGCATAGGTTCACTCATAGCAGGAGTATAAAGGACCATAAATATAAGGGAATATAAAAAAATAATATTAATAAAATATAAAGGAGTATAAATAATAATAATGAACTACTATATACCAGAGACATTTTACAGCGGTGAAGTGGGGAATGGTATCAAAAATGGGGGGGGGAGGGGGGTAAGTGCACTGGATTATGGTGATGACACACAGATGATTTGGTGATGGAAAGCCCACGGGGATTACAACTGAGATGGAAAAAGGCACAAGATGATGTAAAAATGAAGTACTATAATAAAAATACTTTCCAGGTATCTTATACACAATAGGTGCACATTCATACCCAAAGAATACCTATTTTACACATGAGAAGACTGAGGCTTGATCTTATTATTAGACTGTTCAGGGTCACAAACAGTCTGACTCGTGAGTTCAATACCTTCAACCTCTATGCAAGATACCTCCTTATCATAAGAAAATAGTGGTTTACACCAGCATTTCCCAACCTTAACATAACTGATATTTGGGAGGCATAATTATTTGCTGTGGTGATTTGTCCTGTCTGTTGTTGCAAGTTAAGCAAGGAAAATTTGGCCTTTACTCACTAGATGCTAAGAGTACCTCTTCCCCCACAAATAACAATGTGACAACTAAAAAAACATCTGTAGGCACTACAAAATGCCTGGGGGGGGGGCAAAAGTCTTCCCCCATTCAGAAAAACAAAATAGTTTATATTTTATAGTGTTTTGCTATGTGCCAGACACTGTTTTCAGTACTAGCGGTGCAGTCCTACTGTCGTACTGTTGCTATCCCCCTACTTTACAGATTGAGAAACAGAGCTTTAGTTTACTCGTAGACCTCCAAAGTCAAACAACTAATAAATGTTAAGAATTTGAACCCCGAAAATCTGACTTTAGAGTCCATGTTTTTCACCACACTGTGCATGATAGAAGAAACCAAAGCACACCAAATATGAGAAATTCCAGGCAATTCTGAGTTCAGGAAAAACTTGGGGATGAGAAAAACCATAAACAAATATGAGTTTTTGCCTCCAGAAACTGGTTGTCTGGATGAATGCCTGTGAGATGCTGTTGCCACACCATGCCCGGTCAGAAGGCTGGATGGACACTGTTCACTCCTGACCCTTCTATGCCCTTTGGAGCCATCTTACCTAAAAGTTGTATCTTCTTTTGTAACTCAGCCACCTGCATGTGCACTGCAGATTTCCCCCCACTGCCTTGGAAGGGCCCTGACTTGGAATGGTGTGGGGGCCAGGCCTGTGCAGCGCCCTTGCTTCTGATGGGGCGATGCTTGGCTTGAGCTTGACTGCCTTTGACCTTGGAGGAAGTTGAAGCTTGGTCCTGAGCAGGTTGGGCATTGCCGGAGGCCGCCCAGCACAGAGGAGACGTCATGATTGGCTCGGAGCCGCGGGCCTCTAGGGGTTAGAGTGGCGACTAGGAATCGCTCCCGTTCGGGATCCGTCAGTACAAGTTCCTCGGGCTCTGGGAATGCACTTCCCGACTGCTCGGCGTCCGCACCTCGCAGCATCTCCCGGTTGCTAGGTAATTTCCTCCCCGCCTCTCTCCAGCGCTCCCATGGAAACCACCCGCATTCCATACCACCGCTCTCATTGGCTGACGCTAAGTGGAGGGGCGGTCCTTACAGGGGGCGGGGGCAGAACACTGCAGCCGAATAGTGTGGGAGGGTGTTTTGGAGTCACGTGCTAAATTCTCTGTCCTGACTCCCACCCCTCCGGAGGGTTGGCCGGCATTTTTCGGGAACTTTCCATTCCGGGTGCAGAACTCGCCACTCCCAAGATGGAAGTACTTTGTGCCGCCATTAAGCGTGAACCTTCAGAACTATTCCTTGTAAAGCGTCAGTCCTATCCAAGATGGCCGCCTGGGTTCCGGGCCCACCACGCCTTCGTCCGCTGCCACGTCCAACATGGCGGCCCTGAGCCGCCCTTCCCAGTGTGCAGCGTGTGCTGGAAGTGACGCGTCACAGACATTTCCGCTCTTTCTGCAGGAGGAACGGTTGACTGCTGGACGAGGGGGCGCGGTGGATATTGACCTTTGGCCCGACCTCGTGTAGGTGATGTACTAGCAGGGCACCTCAGTTTCCTATTAGGGGCAGTTGGATAGAGGGGTAGAGGTGAAGACTGTTATCCCCTTTGGCCTATGGCGGGAATTGGGCAGCTTTCCTTCCCTACACAGGGAGTGAGATTTTGAGATGCCCACCATTGATTTGAACAAAGTGAGACTCCCCTCTACTGGGCACGATTTGGGATACCTACCCCCACTCCATTATCGGGAGCAAAGTGAACTCTCATTGCTCGAAACAAGGGAGGAAGGAGGAGGAAGAAGTTCTTGCCTTTGGCTTGAAGTAGTCCTCTGGCACAGACTGATCTCCCGTTTCTTGCCGCAGCTTCGGAACACAGAGCATCTCCCCGCAGCCTGCTTCCTCCGGTAGAATTCGTCTCTGGCGAGATGTTACTGTTGGTGCTGCTGCTTCCCGTGTGCTGGGCGGTGGAGGTCAAACGGCCCAGAGGCGTCTCCCTCACCAGTGAGTAGGACTGCTGGAGGGGGAAAGTGGGGTCCGAGTGGCCGCGCTGGTTCATGGGCTAGGCATTCACAACCTTTCGCCTGGGTTTCCTGACTCCTCTTTCGGGAAAGTGGCAGTACTCTGCTGGTGGGTGGGGACAGAGGTTGCCATGCTGGCGAAAAAGCTTCTTTCCCAGAGCTTAATCACATGCTCTCCACACAGATCATCACTTCTATGAGGAATCCAAACCTTTCACTTGCCTGGATGGCTCAGCCACAATCCCTTTTGATCAGGTCAATGATGACTACTGTGACTGCAAGGATGGCTCAGATGAGCCAGGTGAGCTCATTCATTCATTCACCATCATTCATACATCTCTTCAGTTCCTGGTGAAAGTCAGGCCGTGTGGTGACCAAAATGGAGTCTCACGTGGCTCCCTATTGAGTGGAGGTGGTCAAAGTGAGAACAGAAAGTTGTTAGTGAGAAGCCATACCCAACTTGGGAGTCAGGAGGTCTCACCTGACCTTTTTTTCCCAAAGACTAGATTTATTAGGGAAAAGAGCAGGTGTATTGGACACTTGCATAGGCACAAGCGGGCAGGAAGAGCTGCCCTGGAAGGGACAGGTTTGCAGAGAGGCCTGCATGGTTACAGGCAGACGAACAGCCTTAGGAGAAACGGCTTCTTCTAAGGGAGGTCATTGCAGAGAACTCCCCACATAGTATAGGTCAGGGGCAGGCAGGAGGCTGCTGCCCTGTAGAAAGAAGCACCTGCATAGTCACAGGTGGGCAGAGGACTGCTCTCGTGCAGGAGAGAGTGGGTGGAAAGAAGCGTCTGCATAGTCACAGGTGGGCTGGATAGCTGCCAGTGTAGAGACTCCTCTGATATAGACATCTTTTTGGGAGGGGTTTCACCTGACTCTTGAAGGGCACTGTATACAGAGGAATCAGCATGCACAAATACCTAGAGGTTGTAGGGATAAGGGGGACCTGAAGAGCAGACAGATGAAATTGAAGGTGCAGAAGTGAGGAATTGCTGCTGTTCTGACCACAGTAAGAGAAGCTGGGGGGAGCGCTGGAGAATTTTGCTCCAGGCTTTGAGTGGTGAAAGGTGCCAACCTTTCCTTTGGCTGGCGTAAATTTTCATGTTTCTTGTGAGCTTGTGCGTGTGTGTGTGGGCTCTGTCTCTGAGTAGACGGACTTGCTGGACGCTGAGCACTCTGTATAAAGCTACCTCCCTTCTTCCCTGCAGGCACAGCTGCTTGTCCTAATGGCAGTTTCCATTGCACCAACACTGGCTACAAGCCCCTGTACATCCCCTCAAGATGGGTCAACGATGGCGTTTGTGGTGAATGAGACTGCTGCTGGGTTAGGGAAAGAGGTGGTGGGTAGAGGGAGGAAGGAGGCCCTGTCAGGGCTAATTGGGTCCCTCCCTCTGCCCTCAGACTGCTGTGATGGAACAGATGAATACAATAGCGGAATCATCTGTGAGAACACCTGCAAGTATGTGGGTGATAACCCCTACCTCCCTTGCCTTGCCTAGTGAATCTGGCCCCCTCTTTATTGCTTTGTAGTAAATGCACATTCTGTGCTGGGTACCTAGTGAATGCAGCATCACCCATTTTTCCTCTGTCCTGGAAGCAGGTGCAATTGTTTCCCTATTCAACAGATGGCAAACTCAAGTTTAGAAAGGAAAAATGACTTCCTCAGGAAGTCACATAGCTAGGAGATAGTGGAGCTGGGACCCGAACCCAGGTCTGTCTAGCTTGAGAAGCCATGCTTTTAACTGCTACACTCTGCAGCAGGACCTGAAATGCCCACAGGCAGGTAATTAAAGCAACAGAAGTGGTTGAGTACAAGAAGTGATGGAGAATATATACGTCTGAAGGGATTGAAGGGCCAGATGGTGCTTGATTTCTGTTGGTTGGTGACAAGACGGCTGGATTCACTGTTGAAAGTGGATTCACTTATACTCTTCCGGTCAGAGATTTTTTATTTTTTTTTTAAGATTTATTTTATTTATGCATACAAGTACTGGGGTACAGACCAGAGGTGGAAGGGCGGTAAGAGGATTCACCAGAGACAGAGTGGGAAGCAGAATAGGCTGATCAATGAAGTACACTGCTGAGGGGAGCAGCAGGCGAGACAGAAGAGGTCTGCCACACCATGTGGCTGGGGATCAAACTTACACGAAGCAGCTGCAACTGGCTTGCAGTGCTCTGTTCTAACCTGTTGTGCCACCAGGGAGGGCCTGGTCAGAGATGGGCCTAGATGGTAGATGGAGCATAACATACTGTCCAGATTGCCTTCTTAGCTGGGGAGTCTATTACTTATGTACTTTCTCTCCTAGGATCTGTCCTAGCCCTCTAGTCCTTCCCCTGACCCCAAGGGTGGGTGAACCGTGCCTACTCTCTCTTTTCTTCAGGGACAGTGGGGCCAGAGAAGCTTGGGAGGTGGGAAGAGCTTATTTTTCTCTACATGGGGAATGGGTGGAGGCCTTTTATGTATAAGGCCTTTTATGTATATGATGGACACTAAGTCCTACATGTACGCACACATACACACCTCCCCCATGCTTTCCTACTTCAGAGAGAAAGGCCGTAAGGAGAGAGAGACTCTGCAGCAGATGGCAGAGGTCACCCGTGAGGGATTCCGCCTGAAGAAGATCCTTATTGAGGACTGGAAGAAGGCCCGGGAGGAGAAGCAGGTGAGGGGTGCTGGGGGCGCTTACTCTGGTCATTCTGCACCCTGAGAAGAGGCATAGGCTAGCAAGCTCAAGTAAGGTTGATACTTGCCTCTAAGTAGTGGTGTCTGGGGCTGGCTACTGTCTGGGCACTTATTCTGTGATTAAGCCATCACCTGGGTTGGGACCAGGAGGGGATGGGGGCAGGCAGTTGGCACAGGTCTCAAATAAGTAAGATAATTAGTCCTGTTGGATGGGTGTTGGGGGCCTGAGGAGGGTGTGTCTTTCCCTGCCCTCCCCTCCCTTTACTTTGGCTCTTAGATGGGCCAGAGTCCTCAATACTGCTTCTGGGCTCCTGCAATACTGCTTCTGGGCTCCTGCTGCAGTTCTGTTTCATGGCCTAGAGAAGATTCTAGGTCTTTCCCACTCCCTTAGCCTTGCTAGTGAGTTCCTCTTGAGTTAAGGGAGTGAGAGCCTTCCTGCGTTCAGGAGGTAATTGGGGAGCCATGCAGTGAGGTAACTCGAGTTAACCTTTGCCCTCTTGGGGAGGTGGGAGGATCCTGGCAGCAGGCCCACCAATCAGCCAAGGTCTTAGAGGAAAGTGATCCCGTGGGGAAGTTTGGGCTAAGACCTGATAGCTTAGGGTACTATCTCAAGGCTGACTGCCACTCAGTACACTTACTCCCTCATGAAATATCCATAGCCACTTAGGATGTGCCCTGCTCTGGGCATGAGACAGACCTGGAACTGTCTCAAGGGCTCAGTTCCAGTGGGAGGGACATACAGGCAAAATGATGCCCGGGACTGCTGGGGAAAGAGGAATTTGGGGCAGCAAGGCATAGAGGAGACTCTTGCCTTGTCTCTCTCTTCCTCTTACCAGTTTTGGTGGCAAGGAGAACTTCCTGGAGGAGAAGGCAGACTGTAGGGTAATTTAGAGCCAGTCAAATAGAGTGTTCCAGATAGAAGGAAAGTATGTGCAAAGAATTTGAGACTGAAGGTTGTCAGGGCAGTTGGATACTAGAGTTTGAGATAGCAGCAGGGCAGGTGGGACTGGCGTGGTGGACAGGGCTGTGGGGACACTGTTGAGGTGTTTCGGTTTCTCTCCAGTGGACTATGGCAAACAGCAAAGGGGAGACCAAGGAGTGTGGAAAGATCCCACAGCGACCCTGTGTAGTCAAGGCAGGATAGGGTTAGTCCCATGAGCTGAAAAGCAGAATAACAGGAGAGCTGGCCTCTTACCTTCTACCCACTCAGAAAAAGCTCATTGAGCTACAGACTAGTAAAAAGTCCCTGGAGGACCAGGTGGAGATGCTGCGGCTGGTGAAGGAGGAGGCTGAGAAGCCAGAGAAGGAGGCCAAAGACCAGCATCAGAAGCTGTGGGAAGGTATGGTGTGGGGTAGCCGTGACACCTTCACTGGGCCACGGAGACTCTTGTTCACTATCTCTCTGTTGTTTCTGCTGGTTTTCCACGGGGGATGCCTCATTTCCCAGTCTGTCTGGTTATCTTTGTATGTTAGTCAAAGCATTTAAATGTCATTTATAGGAATAACTGGTCATTGTCATTGTGAACAAAAGATTTTTGTCTGGAGAATGACCAACCTAGAGTGCCCTAAATTTAAGGCTGTTGGTTCCTGCAATCGGAGATCTGCTCACAGAATGGATGATTTCTGGTTCAGCCTGAGGGATGACCTTCTGGGATCATACTTCAATTAGTGAGAGGCAGGGGAGTCTTCTGTTTTTTTTTTCCCCACCACCTTTGACTTTGAGCTCACTTTCCCCATAAGTTCCCATCATAGCAGACACCCAGACTTCTCAGGTGCTTCTGCACTCTCTTACCTTCATGAGTATTTCTTTGCCTTGGCTGAGCCTGTGGCCTTCATTGGTTTTATGATTTTTCTTACGCTTTACCCAGCATTTTCTTGCTATAGTAGCAGGGTATGCTGCCATTATGGGAAATCTGAAGCCTTGCTCCTCCTTCTCAGGTTGCTGTGTGATAGGCCTTAGAAGCAGGGCAGAAGTGAGCAGAAACCTACTCCAAACTAGTTGAAGGACAAAGTATTGCTGGGAGAATTTGGAGGCGTGGCCGGGATGATGCAGGGCTGATAGCCAGAAACTAGGTAGCCCTCCCTCTGAAGCCACCTTGTTGGTTTCCATCTCTCAGGCATCTCTGGCATTCTTCCCTCTGGCTGGCTCTCCCTGACTCATTACCAGCCCCATTTCACAGATAAGGACCTGAGGCAGAGAAGCTGCTGGCTTGCCCAGAGTCACACCACAGAGCCAGACTGACCCTACTTTGTCTCCAATTGCGATCTTGTCCTTTAACCACCGTTTGATTCATGTCTATCACCATCACTCAGAGCCCTGCATTACCCAGTTGACCTCCACCAGCCTGTTCCTCTACTCAGCAGCCTTCCTGACCTTGAAAGGGATGATACTTGGTTATGACCCCCCTGCTGCCTAAGCTCCTCTCAGGCATTCTTGCTCACCACATCAGTCTGATGGCCACTGCCCAAGCCGACTGCTTTCCATTGCCCCCAGCCTCTGCTCCACTTCCCCCTCCAATACAAGATGTGCAGTGAGCACTTCAGCAGTGACACGAGGCCCCATCCTGCCTCCTTTGCTTACTGTTAAATAAGATCAACAGGTCAATGAGTCCATCTCACTGTGCTCCAAGTGTCCCTCCCACTGTCTCCCCAAAAACTTTACTGCGCCTTTCTCAAAGTTGGGTCCCTTGTGATCACATTACATGACAAAAACCCAACTTGAAAAGTGGGAACTCAGGGCTTACTGGGACCCGAGGTACCCTGGATGGCAGAGCCCTCCCTCTGCCTCTGGACTCTGCCTCCTTCCCTGCTTTCTTTTTTTTAAAGATTTATTTATTTATTTGTGCATACAGAGCTGGGGTACAGGCCAGAGGCTCAGGGGCGGGTGAGAGGCTTCACCAGAGACAGAGTGGGGAA